TGAACAGTTCGAAGCCGGCCAGGAATGCCGCCAAACAGAACACGTGAAGACAGTGTTTAGTTCTGCTCGACCACATGGGGATGATGACAGCGACTGGACTGGACTGCACTGGACAGGACTGGCGACGGCAGCGACGCCACAACGGTCACCTGCACAACGAATGCTGGCGCGTAGCAGCGACCAGGTGTTACGGATCGAAATCGCCTGAAACAAAAACTCGTTTAGAACGGTTAAAATTTTGGCTGACCAGCGAATATCAGCGAAACGCGTCATCGAAACCACTTTAGACCCCTCCCCCCGCAATCTCCTTCTGACAACTCGCAGCTGCTAACAGCGACCTTTGCGCTCAATGAATTGATCGTGAAACTATGAAAAATGATTAAAACTGTGCGGATTAAAACATAGCGACAACGATTTCTGATTTCGGCTTTAGCACATGAAATTTAAATCGGATTAAGTAGGCAACGATAGCATTAACCGAATAAGTATTCAACGATAGTTTTTTGATCGTCCAAGTTTCGCACGCACACAAAAACGCGATCATTTCTTGCCATATCTTATAGTTAACTTATAAGGTAATATAAATCATAGCTAAATATGACCAATTTGACGAAAACTGCATCTGCGTCATGAAAACTTGGCTTGACACCAGCGAGTGGCTGGATTTTGCGAACACGTAAAAAGAAAAATTGGACAGAAGATACTTCAATAACTTTTGTATATGACGACACCGTCGAGCAACAATGAACGTACACAAGTCGAAAGTCGTCAACGCTTAAGATGTCAATCCGATACACACTTCCACCAATGACAACGGCAACGCTGTGTTGAATATGCGATTGTTTGATACAACTTACGGTATCACACAGTATGACGTTGATCTACTTCCATTATCATACGATAAATGATGAGTACAAATAATCTTTGAAGATGGCAAATGATACGGAACATAGCAGTTCGAGTTCGAAAATACCGTCGAATTGTGAGACGTTCGGCTGTGCGCGTTTTTACGTCTAAACATTCACTGGATATACTTTCAATCAGTAAAGTCATAATGAAGAAATACCAAATAGGCAAGTGGTCGACCATACGGCTTGACTACACAGACGAATAGGCACTGTAATTCGTCTGCCTTTCGTGGACGCATCGATGACGTTTGTTGACCGTCCCGTGTTAGCGGACCACAACCGCAACCGCACCGAAAACAAAAGCCATGTTTAAAAATGAACAAATATCCAAATCTAAATATCGATCATGGTGTGCGGATTCCTGTTATACGTAAATGCGAAGAAATTCGAAAGTGATGAAGACTTTTCGTCTGCGAGTGCGACACGCTAACGATTCGGTTGTTCTGACCATCGTAAAACTGGATCTGTTTGTGACATATAAAATGGCGGCAAGTCTGGTGATTGCTATCACAAAAGCGTTACACAAACCGATACCTAATTTAAACCAGATTTACAGTAAAACATGTTCCATATATAGTTACCATTCGATACCAACTGCGACATCCGTTACTTCAGAACTTATCGGAATGTTCATGCCATTTCGACTCGATCATGTGTGACGTATCAGCACAGCAGTTGCCTAAGAGGTCTGCTTCGAACTGCGAAAGTGCCGAGTTCGATCACGCTCGAGAGAAATGTCTGTCTTATTGAGGAATTCTTCTGAACGAGTTTGCTCAGTCGGTAAAGCGTCAAACTTATAAGCGATAGGTCTCGAACTGAAGCCCCAACCTGGGTAACTCGCCCTTCGTCCATCCGAGATTAATAAACAAGTACCACTCTGTAAGAAGGAAATACGACACTGCACGTTACTCTTTCAATATAAACAGAGACTCTGCCTTTAAACAATAAGGCACTCTTGGTTGATGGATGACAAATAAACTGAGGTCAGCTTCACGAAACGAATGGCTCCAAGATCACCTGGTCATAAAAGTGAAAGAACAGCATTACCGACATTGTAACGGTAACAAAAATTCCTTTCCTTCGTTTTCGACCTATCCGACTGAGAAAATGGCCAGCCTTCCTCTGTGCTCTGATGAATAACAACTAATAAACATGCATGCTTAAGCGCTGAGGCGTCAAAAACGAGCTTTTGCCCGTAAGTTCACTAGTCATCAATAAACTGTTCTCGCCTTTCAATGAAAACAGTTTTAGGCGTGATGTAAGATACTGCTTTACTTTGTTAATTCCTGATAAAACCTTTAATCCTATAATATCCAAATTCATACACATAATAATAGTTTAACGTTAACCATGACAAATCTGATGCAGTTGATGAATGTTAACTGTGAAATAAGCGATCGTATCTACAATGGTAAAAAAACACATGAGCCTTACAGTGCGAATAAAACAACACCAACAGCCTGTTAAGAAGAACCATCCAGAGCATGCGACACTGTAGCCCGTTCATTTTAATGCAAGCATAACTTTAACTGAAAAAACGTCAACATCCTTGAGTGTGAAAAGGGCAGGCTCACCTGCCTCATTACAGAAAGACTATATATTTGACTTAACAAACATACTGTGAAAAAACAACAACACCAGGTCAGACCATATCTGTTATACTTGGAAATCTATAACCATTCAACACTGAATAATACCTCATTCATTTTCACTACCTCCTGGACTGTTCAAGTTTCAAAACAGTTTATGCTGTTTGTAAAGTTCCATCTAGTTCATTTGTACATTTCCTTTTACGTTCTTCTCTTACACCACGGATTTTTCTGTGATTTTTCTGTACTCTAGTATTGAACTGTATAATGCATCACTGTGCTGTGAAAATTTCCCTGACAATGGCTTCTGTGCCGGAGGCGGAAGCTTCGGAACAAAGTGAAAGAGCACCTTACGTTACGTAAAAAACGCGAAGACGTTTGCCTGTTAAAAATGGGCTTTTCAGTTCATTGACTGAGGAACAACATAAACTGAAGGATGGTTCGCAAGCCGACCGCCGGAAAGCGAACTTCCACCGTATGCTGCCTGCAAATCCTCCCATTCAACCAGCGCTACACAAATTTTCTTAATTTCATCAACACTAAATTCGTACGGACTAGCGACAGGAATTCTTCGACCAACTCAACGACCGGATGTACGACCCGAACGTTGTTCATTATGCATTGGAATCCCGGTAAGATCAGTCGACCATTAAAATCCGTCGACTAAATTTTGTACGGCAATAGTGGGGCATATGACGGCTATGGTCGGACAGATTTTTCTTCTGCTTTTTGTCCAGTCCGGCGTTCATGCACAACATCTGCTCAAATAGCATAAAGCCACGTCCAGCGTCAATTCAAGCACCTGTCTAGCTCGCCTGTGTAAACACATCAAAACATTGTATTTACTTGTATGTCTGTGAAAAATAAATACTCACTGAGTGATGTACGGTGGTGGGGTACTCTATTAGCATTCTAGTCACTGACTTGTCCTGACCATGAAATACGTTGAGCAACATAATCAAGACAATGTTCCAGTTCAGCCATGTCCCAACAAGCGTTGTTTACCGTTGCGATGAGCAATGCAAGCGGCGTTTCTACAAAAGCATTCGTTAGCTGTAATAGTGTATAAAAACTACCATCGACGTAAACAGTATTCATCCTTCACATTAGTCAGTGGGAAAAAACTTCAGCGCCGCACGCGGTGGCTGCTTGCGACAACACAACAGCAGCCCAATGAATGAATTAGCGACGAAAAACAAGCCATTCGTAGTCAGCTGCTTGGGCTTCGTTTCTGGTTGGTTGGCTGGTAAGGATTTCTGTAATAACTGATATCGACGCGTATCGGGGTATAGCAAGATGAACGACCCTGTAGTGGCGGGGGACGAAATTTCTGGATAGTATCGGTTTCGAAACGCTGTATCAATCGATGACTTCAACGAGCTAAGCGCAAAACAGAAAAATGATCTATCATCGATTGATGAGTTGAGAGAACAGGGGACTCATGACGAGTGACGTGCAAACAAACGTAATCTCTGTTGATTAACTGATCAGAACAATGGATCGAAGAACAGAGCAGACAATGGCTTCAGCATCTGCTTCCATGGATTCGACATTCACACCAATACCAAGTGACACATTACAGAAATCAAAGCCGGGTTTCGGCGAAGGGTATGGCCATAATGTTGCGCTAATAATCCCGGCAGGACACCACGATGGACGAATGAAATTCGGCCAACGATACAACCGAAACTGGTACATTCACTCCTGTCAAAAAAGTAAGAAAGCTGTCGAGACAGAAAATAAAGAAAGACACAGGCACTCGTTCACAAATTCAGTACTGACCCTATGGACAAGATACAAAAAGGTTAGCAGACCATAGAGACAGAAAAAAACCGGGCGATGGACGACGAACCACTCAGTAATGATCTAGTGAATTCAACGAGGCAAGTTTTGGTGACAACAATGAATACAAGTCAGAAAAACGCATCAACGCACAGTTGGTCACTGCAACGCCGGCCGGACCATGTGAGACGTCGCTACTAGATCGCCAGTGCAAGTGGCGCCAGAAACCGGTTCCAGACTCAGACGACAAAACTGAAAGTCAGTTCCGGGATGACGATGAGAAAGCCAACTAAAAAGAAGCGTGGTGCCGTGTTATGCCCGGATCAAGATCGACTGTCTAAGACGCTTTGACGATCGTCGTTTGGTTTGATCCTGCAAACATACTCTGGTTTGATCCTGCAAACATACTTCGATGAAGGCATCATTCGAAACCTGCTGCTGACCTTCGTAGACATTTTTGCTAGGCGTTTTTTGAACGTCCAGCACTGTATTTCGGCCAAACCGAAAAATTGTTCATGTATTTTTTGAAAATACCGAACTTATTGAAAAAGCACACTGTCTGCTGAAACGATTTCAGAAAACCGAACGGTTGATACATAATAAAGAAAATTCTAAATTAAAGAAACAATTTTTTTCATAAACGATAATGATGAAGGCGGAGGGATATATCAGACAATATGATTCTAATACTTCTGAAACTTCAAAATCGACTATACCTAATCTGGAATGATCAATGCGGTCCAATGGAATGCAAGAAACGATTGCAGTGCACAGGCAACTCATCACCGCAATAATTACGCTAACAGTGTTAAGTGCCGAGTTAAAGCTGTACTATCGCGTCCCCGCCTCAAACGACAGATACGCATTCCTTATAACTTATTCAAAAATTACCCCGTGAGTAAGGCATTCATCATATATTGCTTCAGACTAAGGTTCAGCTCAGTCCGTAGAGCGTCGAATTTAGAACCGATAGATCCGGAGTTCAAGCTCTGGTCGAGGTCACTCGCCCTACCTTCTTCCGAGACTGATAAATTAGTATTACACCGTGGGAAGAACACAGGAAACTGCACACTACGCTTGCCACTCGGCTTTAGACTGTGCCTTTAACAAATAAGGCACTTTTGACTAATGGCTCAGAAATGGAGATCAGCATCGCATCATAAACTTCATGAGAAACAAGTGCCAAAAATCACCTAATCAAACTGAGGGAAGAAAGACATTCCAACTTTCCATTTCGCTTTCATCCCTTCCACATAAGTGTAATCTAGTTTTCAATTCTTTCTCATGGAAGAAAAAGGTAAGACTAGTTATGTCAATTAATTAAAATTAGGTTATGTCAAACCACATAACGATAAAAACGAATGCACCATGAATGAACATGATATGAAAGTGAAATTACACCACTAGTTAAACACAGTAAATACTAATAAAAAATTCTTCATGGAATAAAACAGCATATCGAATTTATTATGCACATATTGTTCAACGAATCAAATAAAACATAAAACAGGCAACAGAAGAATACAATACGAAAAATACACTCCGTTATTAAGGCTTTGCGGGGAAACTGTCAGTTTTAAATACTGCCGCTAAGAATCACCTTTTCCTTACACCTCCGCAGATTTACACAATGTTTACCCGCTGCTAGCATTAAATGAATCATTTAAGCAGGCCACAGATGCGTCACAGTATTTTAGCACCCGCTGTACTTGGGCGCACAACAGCAATAACTCGTTGGGTTGAACAAAATTTATTTTTACTACATATGCGTATGGAATAAAATATAGTTCTTTTTGTACGAACATGTTTTATTAGACCCAAAGAGGTGATATCGTTTTACCCTCATGCACTACAAGCGCTAAAATACCATGGAGCCGTGGCCTGCCTAAATGGTTACCTAGGCAATTAGAAATCTAAGCAAGGCACCAGTACGTTGCGTAAATCCGGACGAAAGACATACCTCGCTATTCCACGTAGCTATAAAGAATGGCAGCTTTGTGATTAATGTTTAACTCCTGGTATCGGATATACGCGGCGAAAAATATAGAGTAAATTTATGTACTTTACAGGGAGAGAGCGATAGTGCAAGACGGATGATCAGTCATTACACCGGCTTGCAGGGATCTACCGTAGATATGCAACCGGTGCTTTGCTAAGAGTCACCTTCTACGATGAGTTAAAGAGGGTACAGTATATAAATGATCGCAATATATAGAACACGTAGTTTTTGTAATGCTTTAATAATTAATAATACGTAAGGACAACGTTCAATTTGCTGACACTACAGACCGAGTGATGCGCACCGACAATACACCGTAGGAGCTCAAATATTATGCATCCCCATGCAGCAGCTTAAATGATAGTTCCCTTAGGGCACTAGGAAAAATGGAGCGATGTTATGTTGCGGTATGGGCAGCACAACATGCAATACCATTAAATCTCGCCCTGAAGACGGATCGAGCGCTTATGATCCGATACGTTGCACAACATGAATATCATCGATTGAAAATTCACTCATGCCGTAAAACTGTTTCCGAATTTTGAACTGAATAAAAGATTCATCTGATGTTTTTACAGTGAATGGTTTTATTTGCTTTCATGTTACAACGATGTACACAAGAGACTGATTCGAAAAGTAAACAATCACTCATATTTGCTTGACACTAGTTGTGAAGGTGGGGGCACGGAAAGCTGAACGACTGAACGACTGAACAGTGGGTCGTCAGATGATCTCAAGTCACGCTTGCCACTGGTTTCCTACGCACAGAGACAAATGTCAAAAATTGAAAAAAAAGTTGCCGAGAGAAAATTCTTTCTATTCTTTTGCACCTCTGTTCAAAAATTTCTGTTGTTTTGAATCTTTTCCTGAATATCACGAGCAACCAATCGACAAGCTTCGTTCCATCTCCATGACCGTTATCTACTTAACTGAGATGCACATATGTACATGAACCCGCTTTAAAACCTACAGATCGCGCTGGTCAAGGGCAGAACCGTAACGTTCATCGTCATCAGTGTTCACTGCTTCTGGTGGCTGTTGCTAGTCCTCTTCTTGCAACCAAACTAGTTTTTGTCTGTTTGTTGGCTAACGGAAACTTGAAATATTAATACTACTCATAAAGTTCCTACGGGTGTTATATAAATCTCACAGTATGCGGTCAGTATATCGCTTACGCTTAATGCGCAGTGCATCTGAGACCCGATGACTGACACCATCCGATGAATCCAACGCTGAAACAACGAATAACAATAACCACAGCCATATCAACTTAACTCTTTAACCAAGAAATATACAAACCTTCTGAGGTCACATCACTCTCATGATGACCATCTCAGCTGCTGCATCACACTGTCATTAATGATTAAATTATAGATTCGTCTGGCAGAACCTAGTTCACTCGTCCGTAGCTGTTTCGGTTACAATAGGGACCATGTCGTTGATCAAAGGGCTTATATGAGGAAATCCTTTAGATACAGCTGTTAACTGCAGATAATTTTTTCTAAAACATTGTCAGTGTCGAGTTCATTAACTCGGTCCAAAAAGATTCGATGTTAACAACTGCACACGATTATCGTACGACCAGAGGAGAGAGCGATTCGAGAGAGGTGTTTCACCTGTCTTAGTATATCATATATAAATATAATTACATCCTCTGAGATAGACACGTTAAAAAAGAATAACGACTGAATGGTTTTAGACATAAAAAATAGACAAAGAGCAAACGGTCCAAGTTCCATAACGAGGGCGAATGTAATTTGTCGGAAAAGCCAGTAATTCTAATACAAACCTTACCAGCTGCCTCCGTTTGCACTGAGGAAGGCTCCGAGTAGCACGAATTTTAGATACCATCACTCAGATCACTTGGGCCGGCCAGTAATCAGTGACGAATGACGGTGACCGCAGAATGCGATTCTGAGTCTCTGGCCCTCAATGGAACGTCCCCCGGCCAAGCCTGTGAAAAAATTTCGCCATCGTCGATCTAGGCGATCAAGCGCCGCTATCCATAGGCGAAGATATCAGTCGACGACTATGGTGCCTAGCCCACCGCAGCTCGCTCGTTGTGCTTTCGACGATGATGACCATCAATTTCGTCCGCTGCCTGATCGCCATTTTCTGGATATGGTCGAAACGTGAGATTCAGAACATTCTTCTTTGACCAGCCGACGTTCAACCGCAGACGCGGTTACATCGGCCACCATTTTTGTTCAAAGCAGCGGCGGTGAGGAGAGGGTCGGTTGTTCTAATCTCGACATGAGATCTTTTTTCTAACGATAGAACATGTCGTGTTAAAAGTGGTTGTTTTCTGAAGCCAAATATCTAAACTCGTAATAACATGATATAACAATATCGGGTGATAACAGCGTCAATGTTCATCTGTACCAACGGGTTTACCCAGAAATAAACCGAGACCAGATTCAACCATCTACAGATCATGTAAAAGTTATTATCAACAAGCACCATAAGACTGTTATTTCGGCAAGGTGGTGAGAACGGTGTGAAAAATGATGGATATAAGAAATTTGAAAAACCTCCCGGCCAGTTGGTTTTGCTTATTCGATGGATGCTGGCAAGATATGAAATAATAAATAACTTACTAATTTATGCCAGAAAAAAATCATCAGCTGGCATAGTATAAGTCAAAAAGGACGTATGATGAGGATAAAAACAGCATCTCGAAAGAACGCAATTTCAATATGCTGGATATGAAGAGAACTACAAGATGACGTAAAACGAATATCAGCTTTAAGCGTTAGGAAATTGCCTCGGGTAACGTTGAAATTCCAAAAACAGGCTAAGTGGAGACGCAACACCGACTATCGCGACCGCATTAACAACTAAAGCTAGCCGAGTTTCATTAGCTATTGAAAAAACACCAAAAACAAGATGATTCAGCTGGGAAATGTTCGAGCTCAATTTCAGCACCGCTTCACTGATGAATAAGCAAGAAAAAACAAAGCATTACCTGCAAAAGACTAATGGCCGGTGGTCGGTGAAAAATTAAAAAGTTACAACAGGAAATACATGGTGGTTTAGTTTCTCACGTGATGGACATAAAGCAATGATTATGCGTCGAACGCATGAAACAAATTCCGACAACCCATTCTGCTTTAATGACGAATATTAGCCTCCTTGTAAATAAATGTTAATCATCTCCAAAGTAATGATGCTTGGAAAATTAAAATTATATGCCGATTATGACTGTTCAAACTCAAACATCGGTGCAATAATGTAAGCGTAATAACATGATCGTATTCTTCGCTACCATCACCATTAACCATCACATCATAGTCT